GTGCCCGCGTCGCTGCGTTCGGTGCCGATATGTACTCTATTCACAATCCGTTTCATCGATAACTGCGCCAATTGGCGACGTTCTGCAAAAACAACGAGTGCCCAAGCCTACTCCTAGTCTAATAGGTGAACACTTCTCGCGTCGTTGTTTCCTTGCACCAACCCCTAAGTCACTCGTTCACACCCGGTTTGTCCTCTCTTTGCGGCGTCCTTCAACTGTCATTTGGGACACGTGTGTGTCGGTTTGGTTCTGCTGCTACGTGTGTGTCGGTCGGTTTGGTTCTGCTGCTGCTNAAGTGCTGACAACAACGATTCGCATCAACAACATCGCATCAACAACATTTCGGGTGTGTGTACCAAAACAAAAGCAACACATATTCACGGGGGGCGCACGACCCAGCCTACTGCAGGTACTTTCCGCAGCACGGGTTATGCTGTTGTGATGGTGCGCGCGAAAAAAACTCCCCCCACTCGGGGTCTAGTATTATTTAGCCAACAACAGAACAAATCAGCTGGAAACTCGCCCCGGTGGTCTAGTGGGTAGCCTCGCAGCCTGCTAAGGGCCAGATCATGGGTTCGAGTCCCGACAGAGTGAGTTTTTTCTCGCTTGTCAAATCCTGGTCTCCGTTGGAAGCGACGCGCTGCAAAGCTCGTTGCTAGTATACTTGATCGACTTCATGAGTCGCGAGGGAAGGGATTGCTGTACCCTTCTCGCGATAAAAATATCNGCTTGTCAAATCCTGGTCTCCCTCGGAAGCGACGTGCTGCAAAGCTCGTTGTTAGTAAACTTGATCGACTTCATAATAGACTAAGTCGCGAGGGAAGGGATTGCTGTACCCTTCTCGCGATAAAAATATCTNCTCGGAAGCGACGTGCTGCAAAGCTCGTTGTTAGTAAACTTGATCGACTTCATAATAGACTAAGTCGCGAGGGAAGGGATTGCTGTACCCTTCTCGCGATAAAAATATCTCAGGCAGGAACCGCAGGAGGGGGTCCAACCCCCCCCTCCTATGTGACCCCGGTTGGGTTGTCCAGCTGGTAGAAGTGGAGGATAGGGGCCAGAAGGGCAGACGACAGAGTCCAATGATGGGAGAAAAACAAAAACAACAAAAAAAACTACGTGTAAGCACCTACATCCTACCTGCTGTCCAGTACAGTCAATAACCAGTTGTACGTGGGTGACACAAGATACCACACCGCGCCTCTGAGTCGAGGTTCAATCAAGCCAATTACCCCATGACAAAGATGGTATAAATCAACGGTACTTTAGCGGAAAGCTCTCGACGAGACGATCCAACGCCACCCTTACGGCACCAACGCTGCTGTTTCTGCTGTGGAGTAATGGAGAGTTTGACAGTCGGACGAGAGAGAGAGGCGAATATCTCACGTATGTCAGTCAGGATGTCACCTCTACGGCAGACACTAACTGGTTGTCCGAGTGGAAAGTCCTCGTTCGAGAACGCATTATCTTACGAGCGTAAAAACGCTACAGGGTGTTTCATTGTCTTGACATTCACCTGACTGACGCTGTCGAGCTATCCAAGCACAAGACTTCCAGAACGCAACCTACTCGAAGAAGAATTCGAATCTGTGAATCTGTCAGAATCAAACGAAAATGCGGCGAAATCAACCCATCCACTCTGCGTCACCACGCGTCACAGCTGACAGTCCCGCGTCAGAACCCCGCCTTCTCAGGCAACGCGTCATCCGCGCCAGGGTTGTCAGCCACACAGGCACACAGGCACACACACAATCTTCGGCCCGCATACCGCACAGCTATATCTCAAGATATCCCCTTCCTGCCTACACTGCTATCCGCCAATCGAAACAAGAAGAGTCCGACGCCCACAGCAACACCAGATCAGCATGAGACCGAACGACTATCCCACGGTATCGCTCCCGATCACCTCAACGAAGACGAGCAGACGGAGTTGGCCCTTTGGGTGGGCCCCGCCACGGCCTTCATCAATTCTTCGAGGGGGGTCTCGCTGTGGTCCCTGGTCAACCTTGACAAAGACGGCACGTGACAGGCGACGCGCCGAGCTGCTTCGACGCCGACACCTTCTCGCATGTTGAAGGAGGCTGCCGCATCGAGTGGAAACCTCGAGGTTCCCCCACCATCGGGCCTACGCCGTCCATACTCTTGAGGTGAGCCACAAGGACGCCCTGTGGTACCTGGCCTAAGCAGGTACTCCTGGCGTAGCTGACTGACTCCCGAAAAAGGCTGCTGAACTGATGTGTGCTACTGGTTGGGCTGTTGTGCAGGGTTGCCCGCAGTGGCCGGGTCTGACCGTTGATATATTGTCTGCTGCTGCATCTTCATGTCTTCGTCGTCTCGAGGGATGCACACTTTGGAGCATTCTACAGCGTATCTGACCTATCGCACGAAACACGCGGAACTTTCCATGACCACTACTGTATCCTCGCACAAGAGTGCACGACTGATTGCCGGGGTAAAAGCCCTTTTTTCAATTTTTGCGTGAAGGCCACACCGAACGCCCTCCAACAATCTGGCCTTGCTCAACATCAACGTTCAGCAGGAGCTGGGAGCGCCCGCTAGGGTAACGTTGTTGGTGAAAGCCTGGACCGTGTGGTGGCGTCCGAGGTCATATTGCTATCCACGACTAAACCATCGGTGCTTCGATTACTGCCTTCCTTCTCTGATGGAACTGCTGCTCGTGGGCGGTTGACTATGGCCAATCTCCACTGGAGAATTATTTCCGTGATATAGACTTTGTGTGTCTTGAGCCGTTCGTTGTGTGATGCATGCTATGTTGCTACCCTTTGATGGTGGCAGCGGTGGTGGTGGAGTTAGTGCTGTTGATTGTAGCTCGGCTCCTGTCGTGCTGGCGGCGTGGGAATTCTGTTCAAAAGTGGAGAGACGCTTTGTATATCGTACGCTGACAATGCTCTTCGAGACGGGGATATACGTTCATCAAATTTGATCCTTTCTTGTTCAACCTGTGGTGCGCCTCTTGTCCCCTGGTGTACGGTGCTGTAGTGTGCTGTGCTGTTCTCGTATCCTTTGCGGTAGTGGTGAACTCTGCTGAACGTACGTGGCAATTGCTCGCAGTCTTGTTTACTCTTTCTGATTGTCGTCGTGAATGGATGGAGCGGATGAAGAACGCTGCTTCATCCGCTTGTAGTCATGTGTGTAGAGCAAGATTGATCAGTTTGTCGGATCCGAATCGTTTGGTTCGCCAGCAGCTTTAACCGGCTTCTTAACGGGGATTTTCGATAGACCTGGGGCTTGTTTTTTCCCGTAGGTCGGTTAAGTCTAGGTATTGGTTAGCTGTCTCGTAATTAACCTGTACGATGACCATTCGACCACTAGACCACTAGTCAGCGCCGACTGGTAACCTGACTGTAGTGGTCTAGTGGTCATCGTGCTTCGGGCTGCTGCGGTACACTTCGCAGGTGGTGTTGACCTTTATACTAACATTTCGATATGCACGAAGCACCTAAATTAGCTTCGGACTTTGTAGACGCGTTGATGGGCGGTGTTGGACGGGGTTATGCTGAAGAATATAATGCGGATGAACTAACAATATCTTCAACAGGTCGCCGTTTTTTTCATTTTTTTCCCGGCCGGGTGCAATCGAACTTTAACGATACGGCCTGCAAATCATCCTCTGAGTTTCCGTTCGTCGGGAGGTGCCGTTGGACGTTTGTTTTACGTTTCAAGACCGCAACAAAAAAAACAAACTCGCCAACCGGTACAGACACACGCTGGATGTACCCTTGTCGTACACAGCATTTGTTGACATAAAACAAAGTGATCGAGTAGCCAACGCCATGAGTGAAATGGGCCGGGGTGGGGGCAAAGGTCGATTATCTGTCATGCTCGGCTCCGTGGGTCTAGAGACGCTTCGTCTCTAATTCGTGTGCGGCCTTCCTCCTGAGCGTCCAGAGAACACACCGAAAGTTGTAACGACGGACCTCCAGAAGGAAAAAGGGGGCGACACACACAACGTACCGTGTGTTCTTCTTACCCTCCGTGGTGTCCTCACGCGTTACTGAGTCGAAAACTGCGACGTACCGTAAGGTTGCGAGTCGGCGCACAGGCAGGGGTGCGAACGATGTTCAAAGCGTAATTCCTCCACGACCAGGAGGTTACCACTGTCGAAAAGGGCGGTTTTGGAGTCTCTCATCGAGAGCTTTCCTGATAGTTATCAGTTGGCGCTCGCACCCTCCAACTTGTGAAGGAATTACGCCTTGAAAACCGATCGTATCCCTGTGCTTTGACTCGCGACCTTGCGGTAGTCCGGCAATCCAAAATAAATCACCTTCGAAATAATTTGAAGTTTCTCCCGCCGACCCAATGGTGGAGCATATCGATGGTGTTACTTGCCTTTCGTCCAATACCGTTCACAAACCTGTCCAACACTCCTATACTCAATGCGGAGTCTTCACACTAGTCGCAACCCCTAGCGTACTTCTATATTGCAGTACCATGAATAACGTAAGATATCACACCCCCGAGAGATTTTCAAAACTCGATCAATTCCACGTCATGGGGACATACAACTCAATGAGTACATTTTCGGAAAACTCTCCACGAGACGGTTCCACCGCTGCCATTTTCGGCACCGCCATTTAAAGTAGTCGAAACGTGAGAAAATTGGTCCAGGGTGTGTATTAAATTGTGTCATGTCACCTTCGGTAGATGGTTTCATCCAAATCTGCAGTTCTCCGCCTGTTGTCCCTGTTGTGCACGACACGCATGGGTGAAAATGGATCGAACGCCATAGAGCGGAAGAGGGGATACGATCTACGTTGCGCTAAAAGACGGGGGTTGAGAGCATCCCCTTTCTTCTGTGTCCGCCCGATGCAGACCACACCGGAGGGCAGGAAAAGCAGACATGTCATCTTTTACCATTACGTTCTCAAATGATAGCGCATACCGAATACATGCGCGATCCACAAGCGAACAACGGATGCGCTGGCGCGCGTAAGCTCCGCGGTAACGAAGAGTAGTCTTAGTTTACAAATCGAACTCCCACCGACAGCAGTTACAGCAGCAAGAAGGAAGGTCAGCAGTCTCAACCATTCGCGATGGTTGCCAAAGGACAAAGAGCGAACGGGCACGGAGGGCATGCCTCGAAAATGCTAACGTGACTGGCTGCAACAGCAACACGGAATCAAGGGCAAGAACTGACTACAAAGACAAAGACACCACGCCGGTGCTGCGGCGGGTTGAACTAATGTCCCAAGCAAGAGAGGCCGTCTCATACTTTACGACAAACCTAGCTTACTAAAAGATCAACCCAAATCACTCACCTCAACAACAAACACACACGAAGACACATGGTGCACCTTCGCAAAAACTGCCTAATTTTCGTTCTGCGCAGCCAACACCCTACTACTCCGCAAACACGACAAACTAGCAGACATCCGGAATTCTCGGTCGATGCTCAAGACTAGCACGCATAGACAAAGACAAGATAAGGACGTGGATGATGGATGAGTCAAACCAACTTCAGCCGAATCTAAACGTTGCCGAGAGGAATACCCAAGCCAGCTACATTTATTCGGAACAACAAACAATAGTCCCCTCGCCATGACAAAAAACGCTCATCAACGCGACAAATTTCAATCACACCGGTGGTGAACAAGATGAAACGGCTTTCCCCCCCTACAGGACACGATTCTGAGGGACAGGAGGCGAAAAGAAACTTCACCGCAACAAGACAGATGATAGTAAATAGAGTACTGTACCCATGAAAAACGTCTCCGTCTAGGCCCGGGAAAGTGTCCTAGGGCAGCACAAGCCTCAAGTATCCTGAATACTTACAAGTTTCCTGAGGTCAGCTTGAGGGTCATTCATTCACTAAATACCGTATCACCGGCAAAGGTGCTCTTATGCTGCCGACCCGCACGCTTCACAAAAACTCGAATGAATACATAGGTTCCATCTAGGCGTACTGCATGTGTGAATACAGTCGCGCAACGCCACAGGTCGGCCCCTAACGAGGCTGGGATACACGGTGGCTTGACACCCTTTACACGCCTGAAACCAGCCAATCTCGTCACCTCACATTGCTGTGCGTGTTGTCGGACAGCCTTGACTCCAACATCCATACCCTACGTCGCTCACAAAAAAAATAAATAATCAAACTATGCCGTTATACCTGTTGCCACCACATGTGCCTAGCTCTCTACAAGTATCTCGTATCGAGATCCCGACAAGCTTCTTCTAAGGTTTCGTGGGGGCCCAGAGCCCTTGCGATTGTTCTGGCGAACCGGGAGAGTGGGCAGAACTCGCGACCGTACGGTCTACAAGTAAGAGTGGCACCGATCATGAGAGACAGAGACGAGAGGGGGGGTCAGAGAGTTAGAGAGAGGCATAGAGAGAGGACGAAAGTCAAGAAATGTGGACGTAGACTCATGACCAAAACTGATGGTTGTGTGCTCGGCGTGACCGTTCATCGAGCGTTATGATTGCCAGTTTGTCAGCGAAACAACCACGGTGGTCAATGAAAGTAGTTTCGCAACAGTAGCAGTCGGGGGG